GGTACCTGGGATTGAACTCAGGACCTTGGGGTTTCAAAGCAGGTGTGGTGCCACTGAGATAAATCCCCAGCCCCAAGTTTAGTTTTAATGGGTGATTAAGAATCAGCCAGTAAAGGAGAAGGGTGTTTTATCTGCAATAGGGAAAATTATTAAGGAAAAAAAAAAATCTGTGTTCACATTTCCCAGGAAAGAGACAAAAGAAGATCTGTTCCTAAAGGCCTAAGGGAGGAAGCAGAGATAACCCAGGGGCTTGTTGCTGGGGGTGGAAGAACAGACAGAAAAGGAGGGAGGGGTAACTCCAAGAGGTCATCTCTAAACTGGCTCCAAGTCTTCAGTCTTCATTACTCCCTCACTCCTCAGGAGAGAATCAGAATGACACAAGGTTTTGAAACCAAAGGCCAGGTTACTTGTTAGTAACCTTGGTCATGTTACTTAACTTCTTTTAGTCTGTTCACTCACACATAAAATTAAGATAATAATATGTCACTCCTATGATGATGTAAAGATCAAATCAGATAAAGGATATAAAAGCTATAGAACACATTATAAAAATGTTGGTTGCTCCTGTTATCTAATAGGTAACTAAATTTAGTTGAGTCTATCTTAAGTATGTATCTTTCCTTAATTTTTCTTCCACTCATGCTCCTGCCCTGACTTGCTTCAGGCTCTTATCTTCTCCGCATCATTCCTGTAGACCTCTCTGGATTCTTGAGTGCTCCTGAAGAAATCCTTCCAAAGAGCCTATTAACCACAGAATAAAGGGCGAACTCCTCTGCTGAGCACAAGGCTCCTCTTGAACATGACTCAACCTGCCTGTGCAGTTTTAGTTCCTGTCCTCCACTGCACGACCTACACTTCCGCCTCACTGAATTTCTTACCGCTGCTCAAATATCTCACTTTTCATAGCTTTCCAATTCCCCTTCCTAGAATGCTTTACCTCTTCCCAATCACCCGTCAGTCCATCTCTGTTTGCACATTGTTTTCCTTTCTATCTGGTTCATCTATTCAACCTTCAGCCCTGGCTTAATTGTCATCTGCTCCCTAGGGCTTCCCTTTTCTAGTTCATTCTCTTTTCTTGGGTACCGGGGATCAAACTCAGGTCCTTGCACTTGGGAAGCAGGTGGTGGAACCACTGAGCTAAATCCCTGGCCCTCTAGTTCATTCTCTTAGTAGAAGTTTGTACATCCTTCTATTGCAACACTTATCATGCTGTTTTATAAACATTAGTAGGAGAAGCTACCAGGTTTCTGTTAGGTTGTGAGCACCTGAAAGAAAAACACTTGTTCATTGCTGGATTTTCCTTAACCAAGCAGACTTTCCCAGCTGAATTAAAGGGTTCATTTGAAAGATTGGAGACAGGTAAGGTAGGAAAAGTAGATTGAAGAGGCATTAAAGTTTGATAATGATATACACATGCCTGAATACCAAATTTATTTATTTTTTGGTTTATTTATTTATTTAAATTTATTTTTCCTGAATATCAAATTAAGAATTTCTAGTTTTGCACTGGCACCAAAAAAAAAAAAAAAGAGAGAGAAGAATTTCTAGTTTTGTACTGTAAAAAGAAAGCATTGAAGATAGGTAAGCAAAGAGTTAACAGTGAACAATAATCTAATAGGCCCCAGAAATCAGAATATGTAAATCTAGTGGTTAAGTGTGAGCAAATAAAAACAAAAATAAAAAAAACTGGGACTAAGTCCCACAAAAGATGAATACATTTCTGTTTGCTATCCTATGCGTTTTCTCTTTCTGCTAAATGCTACTTGAGCATCCATTACAGATGACTGAATTAGTTTTTTCTTGAATTCTCAAGTTTTGTTCAGTAGAAATCTATACTCACCAGGTGTGGTGGCATATGCCTGCCATTCCAGCATTTGGGAGGCTGAGGCAAAAAGATTGCTGTGAGTTTGCTGGGCTACATAGTGAGTTCAAAGCTAACCTGCACTACATGGTAAGACCCTGTCTCAAAAACAAAAGAAAACAAAACAAAAGAAAAAAAAGGTCAAAGTCTTTGACTCTGCCCTGGAAGAATCTGCAAAGAGAGCTGTGAAAGTATGTGTTTTGAGTGGTGAAAAGGAAAAGACAAGATGTAATTTTTTTTTTTTTGTATTTTTTGGGGCACTGGAGATCTAACTTTGGACCTTCACAAGCAGTAGAACAACTGAGCTAAATCCCAGCCCTTGGTTGATTTGTTCAATGGAGTAAACGTGACTGAGCTTCATAGGAAAGGGTTTCAATGATCTGGAAAGATAGGGACTCCACTTTTTGATTGCAAACAACAGAAATTCAATTCAGAAGATTTAGAAAAAGAAACTTAGTAGTTTTAGTAACATCTCTATGCTGATGACTTTCAAGTTGACATTGCCAGCCCTGATCTCCAGATCCTATATATCCAGTTGTCTTGTAAGCTATTCCTGTAGGATGTTTAATAAACAAACCAAATTCACATTTCTGATCTTCTCTTTACAACTTCTATTCACCAAATCACTTCCTCTCATAATCTTCCATTTCAACTAATGAAAAGTCCACCTTTCCAACTGCTCAGGTTAACTACTTTGTCATCATCTTTCATTTACCCTCTGTGTTCAACTATCAAGAAATTCTTTACTTTCAAATCTGTCCAGACTCTGACCATTTCTATGCACCTGTACAGCTACCATCTTGGTTCAAACCATCATCTTCTCTCATTGGAATATTGAAATAGCCTGCTAACTGGTCTCCCTGACTCCAATTCTATTCAGTTTGTTTTCACTGCAAGAAACAGAGTAAGTCTGTTATAAATCATAAGTTAGATTTGCTGTTTCTCTGCCCAAAATCATCCACTGGCTACCTATCCTACTTAGAGAAAAACTAAAGTCCTTGCAATAATCTACAATACTCTACACAATATAGTTTCTGGTTACCTTTCTGAGTTCATTTTTTGTTTCTTTTTTTTGGTACCAGGGATCAAACTCCGGTCCTTGGACTTATGAGGCAGGTGCCTGAACCACTGAGCTAAATCCTTAGCCCTTGACTTCATTTTTCACTGCTCTTTTCCTTGCTTGTTGCACTCTGTCTCTTAGCTTTTCCTTTAACATGTCAGGCATGTATGAAGTGGCTCTTTCCTTTCTTTTTTTTTTTTTTGTACAGGGGATTGAACTTAGGACCTTGCACCTGCAAGGCCTGAACATTGCCACTGAACTTAATTCTGGGCCCTGGCTCTTTCCTTTCTCTGGATAATTCCTCCCCAAATACCCACATGGCCTTCAGATCTTTTACCCAAATGTAATCTTATTAACAAAGCTTTTCCAAATCCTCCTATTAAAAATTTTAACCATGGGACAGGGGATTTAGCTCATTGGTTCCACTGCCTGCCTCACAAGTGCAAGGTCCTGAGTTTGATCCCTGGCACAAAAAAGCAAAACAAAACAAAACAATAAACTTAACCTATCTCCCACCTCCATCCCCTTTCAGTTTAATTTTTATTATTATTCATCACTAACACCTATACATGTTACTTATTAAATTCCAAGAGGACAAAATGTATGTATGGTCTTTTTGTTCAGAGATCTATTGTCATTTCCCAGAACAGTATCTGACATATAATAAGATAGGAATAAAATGTTTAAGTGATAAGTTCAGGCATGGTTAGATCAGGCCCATCATTAGAATTATCTGTATTTCCTAGGTTTTTTGTTTTGTTTTGTTTTAACCACTGAACTAAATCCCTGGCAACCTAGTTGTTCTTTTCCTCTGCATTCCCTTCATTCTCAAGCAGGTGTGATGGGCAAGACCACCACCAGCTGCAGGTTTATATCCTAACAATTCAGCAGCTCTAAGAGGCAGAGCGCCTCTTTCCTGATTGTCCCAGTGAAAGCCTTGCAAACGAACCTTAAAGAGTTTGGGCTTGGATCAAATGACAATCCCTAAATCAGTCTCAGAGGGTCGATGAATAAAATGTAACTGGCCACACCTGGGTCATGGGGCTCCTAGACTAATGGTAAAGTCCAGCTCTACCTGGAATAGGGGGGATGGTATCAGAAGAAGAACGGAGACTAGGCCTGAAAAAATACAATAGATGTACACCACATCATCAGTGATCGCCCACCCACAGACCACATTGTTGTTCAGGTCCTCCATTTCCACACCAGCCAGACGGCCCTGCCCTGAGAATTGATAAGGGTCTCTCCTCCATGTCCTTCACCTGTCTCTGCCACTTAAGGTCTTCCTTACCCTTCAATCTCGTCTGAAAAGGTGTGGCCTCTCGCCTTCGTCTGAGTGTTCTAGTCTTTTGTAGCCAGCTTTGTACACTGTGCCCTACACTTGTACTCTTGTGCGCCTCATACCCTCCAACCTTGGCATTCCATGCCAACCCGAGCCGCCAGGGCGCGCCAGGCGCCTAGC